CATCACCTTGAACTTACACATCCACGCTCTCCATCAACACTGCTGCAGAGGAGGGCAGCCCGGACTCTGTGAGGAGGGTCTCCCTAAGGCTGAGCGCCCCCCCAGGGACCCGGGGAGGACGGCCTCCTGGGTCTGCCTTTCCAGTCTCACCTCCACCACGCTCACTCCCCAGTCCTGCCAGAGAATGGCAGCCGACTCCAGGGAAACTTTGCAAATGGAGAGGTTCGGCCAAAGCTCCATAATGCCTATTAAATACGAAACCACTAAAAATCCCGAATACCCTGCCTGGCCATGTAAACACGTCTTTTGGATGTGTGGGGTCTTAGTTAACCAAGCCTATTATTTCAGCTCTTTGCCTCTGCGGGGTTCCCCTGCACTTCTCCCCGGAATGGGCACGCCTCCCTTGCTGCTGGTTCTGAAGGTAAATGTGGGACATCATGTGGCATTACAAGCATTCGTGGACTTATGTGACCTCCCATTTCACCCGCTTATTCTCAACAGCCAGAGCCACAGGGCCCGGACCGAGATCCATACCTTCTTTGCATTGGATGATATTGTGTTGGCCATTAAACTTTCCAGATAGCTGCCAAGGCTGATCCCCTTCACAGTGATGATGGCTTCCTGCGTGAGCACCGTCCTACAGGGGAGCAAGCAGCGAAAGGCTGAGCAGCCCTGAGACGGGAGGCTCCAGCCCACCCTGACCTTGGAGTTCACCATGTTGGTGCCGGGGCGAGACCACGTACATTTCAGGGTTCTCCGGATGGGGTGTGTACACCAACCTCTCGTTCACCGACACCAAGTTTGTGAGTGTGATCTTGAAAAAAGGAACAATGGCTTTAGGTTCTACTTCTCTTGCATTTCTTCCCAAACCACCTGCCCAACTTCCATGCCCCAAACAGCACTTACTGGAGCCAGAACAGGAGACACCTTTAAGCCCAGAGGCACCACCATATTACATCCCAGGGAAACTGTCCTGGCTGCTGCTCATGGCGACTGTCCCCTGCCCTCTCTCCACAGCCCTCCCAAACCTCAGCTGGGCCTGGCCTTCAAGGGGCAGGTATCCCCTACTTTTTTTTTTTTTTTTT